TCACCTTCATGCCTCTGAACTCACCATCAGCAGCGGGGCCTGGAGTGTTCCCTGGCCCACCATGCTGTCATGATAGAATAGGGGACTGAGATACAAGTTAGAGCACCTAGGCCTGAGCCTGCGCCTCCCTACCTCCGTGTTCTTGGGTAAGTCACCTGGCCTCTGTGGCCTCAGCTCCCCTGTGCCTAAGCCACAGAGCTGCTGCGATCACCTGCAACGTGGGCCAAATGTTAGCAGTGTCCCTCCACCACCCCAAGAAGTTCCCATTGGCGGCTTCCCTCCTGCAAGGTCACCAAAGCAAATGACACTACCCCCTACACACACACACAGACACACACTAGCCCAAACACAAGAAGGGCTGTTGATACTACAAGCTTTTAATTGGTATCTTCCCCCTACATTTGAGGAAGAAACGAGAACGCCCCACAACGACCTTCTTCAGCATCGGAGGGACATGGACTGAGTGAAGGGCTAAGGAGAGAATGGGGGAGATGAAAGCTGACTGTGGGTTTCCCAAATCTTTACCTAGTGGTGGGGTGGCGGGACCTGCACAGGAAATCCAGAAACAGAAATCAACAAGCTGCCACATCCCCAAACCGGCTGGCTATCCCAGGCCACACCTAGAGCCTCCCTCCAGGTCCCTGCAGCTCCTGAGGCCGCCACCAGATGGGAGCATCGAGCAACATTCCTTTTCCTTCCCAAGCCTGCCTCTCAGCCTGCCTCCCTTCTTATTCCTTCACCAATCCTCTTCCCTGCCTGCTTTTCCTCTTCCTCTCTATTCCCACCAGAACAGATCCTGGGGCTTCTATCTGCTTTATGTTCGAGGAAGCCAGTGGTAGTGGAAAGCACACTGTGAATGGGACCTCTTGAAGCTGGGAGGGCCAGCCATGGGTCGGCTTCTGGGGGAACCCTGGGATCTGGACATTTGTGCTCAGTCACTAGGAGCTGGGCAGTGACCAACACCTCCCTGTGGTCTTAGCACCACTAAGTGTTCAGAAAATGTCCACTGAGTTGGACTGAACAGAACTGAATCAATAAATCATCGATAAACCAATCAACAAACCCAGAAAGAAACAGGAGAAACATGTATTCTGCTGGTGCTCAGGTAGCCTCGGACACTGTCGGGCCATCTTGACAGAAGCACAGGCTGGACGCTGCCCGAAGGCACCAGCCCAGCACCCTCCACTCAGGGCAAGCTGTGAGCTGGGCTGGACCATGCCTCCTGCTTCCTGCCCACCACGAAGGATGGTTCTGCTCACAGTGCTCCGGGGGGCTGTGGGGAACTTGTCCAGTGAATTTCTGGGCCCTCCTTTCTATCCCCACCTACCCTTTCTGTAAACCAACTCCTTCAGTTATTCCTGTGACCATCATGCAGCTGCCACCTCTAGAATCCTGGCTGGAGGCTGGGTAGGGGCAGAGCCGGGGGTGGGGGGCAGCCAAGAGAAGATTATAAGGCCCAAGCATCTGCTGACTTCTCCTTTCGTCTCCCTCAGCTGAAAAAGACACAGGCCCCTACTGTTATTGAACCCAAAGAACAAAAGTTGATCTAAGACTCTCTGTGGCCTTTTTCTCACGCATTGATTGCTATTCCCCTGCTGGCCTAAGACTGTCTAGTGTGACCTTGCCCAGTTTGCTGACTGAGGGGCACGATGGGTGGGTAGGTGGGAGAGGGTCAGGGAGGGGCCTGGAGGGGCGGGGGCTTCACTGCAAGCCCAGGAATTCCTTGAGGACATCGCAGGTTTTCTTGTGCATGACCTCACGCAGCTTCCGGACCCGCCGGCTGCTGGACGCGCCCACGAAGCTGTCGGGCCGCAGTGTGGCCATGCCGCCATCCACCTCGCCCATGATGATAAGTGGTGTCTCGCCCACGGTCACGTTGGGGCAGGGGCAGGTCCAGTCCACGTGGAGCAGAGTGACCTCCAGCGGCTCCCGGCCCAGGAACTTGAGGCCCATCTTCTCGTCCTTTAGGACCTCGTCCACTGTCACCAGGGCGCGCCCCGCGTCAGGCTCCTCCGTCAGCTCGGAGACTCGGCCCAAGATGACAAAGTCACTCCGACAGAAGCTGGTGACGAGCTTCTGCCTGGGCTTGCAGGCCCGGCAGCGCTGGTTCCCCCGGGGGAAGGGGCAGGACTCCTCGCAGGCCTCGCGGCTCTCAAAGTTGTTGCCGTTGCCCTCGCAGCCGCCGTAGACGAAGGACTGGCACTGGCCCGACTGGCTGTTGTAGGCCCAGCGGGGCGCGTAGGCCTTGCAGGGCCCCTGCAGGGCGGGCAGGCTGCACACGGCCAGCGGCCCGCTCATGCAGGCCAGCACGCAGGCCTCGTAGGTCTCAAAGTGGTTGCGGTTGCGGTGGCAGTGGCCGAAAGTGAAGGTCAGGCAGTTGTTGGCCTGGGCGTCGAAGTGCCAGCGGGTCTGCTCCTCGCCGCAGTCCTCACTGTCGGGGGGCTTCAGGCACTCGGCTGCGGGGAAAGCCGTGCCGTTGGGGCTGCTCTCTGCGGTGGCCGAAACCTGACCCCCCCTGACCACCGACAGCGGGAAGTCGGCCCGCAGGACGCCAGCAGCGTTGCGGGCGGTGCACGTGTAGATGCCGGCGTCCTGGAGCTGGGCGTTGTAAATGACCAGCTGGGCGATGTTGGTGACCACCACGTTGCCTCGCACGTGGTTGGGCCTCATGACCACGTTCTCCCGATCCTCCAGCTGCTTCTCCCAGGTGATCTCAGGCCTGGGCCGACCCACCACGTCACACAGGAAGCTCACTGTCTCACCCACAGTGACCGACTGGTGCGCAGGGTGGTTGAGCAGAGCTGGGGCCGCCAGGTCCAGCCCAGGGGTCTCCAGGGAGGCTGTGGTGGGGTGCACCGTGGTCTCTGGTGGTGGGGGGCTGGTGTTGGGCCAGGTGAAGTGATAGCGGCAGGTGACAACGGCCAGGGTGATGCCCTTGGAGCAGGCCTCGGCGTCCATGTAGCAGCGGTTATAGTAGGTGAGGCCGTCAGAGGCGCAGGTAAAACTGGGCTCCTTCTCGCAGCGGTCTCTGCACTTGCACACGGGCTGGCCGTCCCAGATGTCACATTCAGAGCCCTGTTGCAGACACATGAAGTGGTCGCACGTGGCCTCCTTGGGCATGCCCACCGGGCCCTTCTTCCCTTTCACGTCCATGTAGCGGGCCGCCACACAGCTCTTGGTCCCACACACGTTGGGGCAGCACTTCTCATAGGTCTCACACTCCTGGGGAGAGCCACACGGAGAGGCCTGAGTGAGGAGGAGAGGAAGAGAGCACAGGCTTTCCCCACCCCACCCCACGGTGCCCGGGGAGGGGAAGGAAAATGTTCTCACGCACCGCGAGCAAAACATTTTGATAATAATAATAGGGAATGTATCCATAACACCTACTACTTGCCAGGCCCTCTTCTAAGAATGCTTACATCTGTCAGCTTATCTAATGCTCATCACAAGTCTCTGAGGTGGGTACAACCATCATCCTTACTTCACGGGTGATGATAACTGAGGCACAGAGATTTTAGGTAACTTGCCCAAGGTCACACAGCACTAGTGTGGGGAGAGGCAGCCCACATCCTGCAAGAGGGAAAGTTTTCCTGCCACCATGAGATGAGATGAGATAGAATGCAGAGACTAAGAGAGGCGACCCTAAGTCCACAGAGCTGGGAGGTGCTGGGAGAGGGCTTCAAGCCCCATGTGGATGGGGTTCTGAAAGGAGATTTTTTTCTATTATATCATATAATTACCACAGTGTGGTCTTGGCTGGAACGAATGAGCCTGCCTTTTGGCCTTTTTTCTACTGGGGATGCCCTGGCTCTGAAGAGGTCACCCAAATGCTAAGAAGGAAAAGTCAGACACTGGTAGGATAGTTATTCGAGGCTGTCCACACAGACATAAGGAACAGCCGCTCTGACGATGGCAACATTCGTCCGAAGCCTAGAGGAAGGGCCAGGCCCTGGATGCCAGGTCGTGCCATTGTAAGCTGTGCTGGACCCAGGCGCTTAGTTCCAAAGCGTGGGACGTCACACAAGGAAATCAACAAGGAAAAAAGTCCCCTTGTGTGGCAAAGGTCAGCACGGCCGTCAGTGAGGACTTACCAGGCTGTAATTCCCTCTAATTTTTTGTGGAGCTGCGTAAGGCATGAGTTTAATTCCTCAAAATTAGCAACATGCTCTGGGCCGACATAAACAAGGGTTTCACGCGGTGTTTTGGTCAAGCCGGCAGGCAGTGCCCCTAATCCTCCGCCCCGGTTGTGGCTCTGTGCACTGCTCCCACCAGGGCTGGCCTCGGGCGGCTCCAACTTTCCTTCAGCCTCTCTGACATTCCACATCAGCTAAGGGCTGCGTGGAGCCCGCCCGTTCGACTTGTTTACTGTTTTCCCCTCGCGGCTCAGAATGGGGACTTTGTTTTGCATCCCTTGCTTGGCATAGGCTTTGAGGCCACACCAGGGAGGCCCTAGGACAGGGAAGGACAGATCTCAGAGCTACGATCTGAGGGGAAGAGACCCACTGGGGGCGAGGGGTGAGGGCAGGAGGGGCTGAGAAGCAGGGGAACCTGCTCCTCTACCAAAGGGTCCTTCAGTTCCTTAAAGACTCTGGGCTGGGAAGCTCCTTCAGGACTTGGAGGTCCATGAGAGGCGGGGTCCTTGGGGGCAGGGGCAGGTGTTTCTGGGCACAGGAAACCTAAAGGGAATCTGTGGAACAGTTTTTGCTTCAGTGCTCAGAATGTGCCCTTGGATGTCTAAATTCCCAGCCCCATAGAGGTGCCTTCTTCCCAAGACATAAGAAATCGGCCAGAGTCTCACTGTCCCCGAGCCCCACCTGATTTATGAGGCCAGGCTGTGCCAGTGAAACAGCCTTCCCGGCAAATGTAGTCAACTGACCTCAGCCAGGTGGGGACGCTCTGCCACCCCTCCCTGCCCTCACCTCCCCTTCCCTCCGCATCCTGTTGCTCACTCCAGTGGGAGGTAGAGGCCACTCTCTCCAGGGCGAGCGTGTGCTCCCATAGGTTACATGTGTTTGGCAGAGGGAGTACCAGGGTCTTTCATGTTCCCTGGTGATGCCCAGCCCAGCCTGAGCCCCAGGAGCTGCCAGACTGGCAATGCCAGGTACTAGCAGGCTCTTCACCCCTGGGGGAAGTGGCAGGACTGGCTCTTGGCCTCTGGAGCTGGGAGAGAGTTGTCCTAGAACCAGGTCTGCCCTGAATGCTGCAGGGTGCTCTGACGAGGATGACTGAGGAATCTGGCAGGTTGAAGCTTAGTCCCCTTCCCTCCCAGGGACCCGCAGAGAGTCCATTCAGATCCAGTCCTGCCCACCCTCCCCATCAGCCTGGTCTGATCTCAGTAGCAGGGTCCAAACCACCAGAGAGGTGGCTGGAGGCCGGATGAAGCCTCAGCTTTGTGGTCAGGCAGGTGCCGTGTCCAGGCCCACGCTCTGCTCCCTGATGTGGAGCCTCAGGCTGCTCACTGCTGTGGCTGAGTCCACTCTCACCTGTCAACGGGCTGTGGAGAAGCCATGCCAGTCTCTGTGATGTGCCCGGCATAGTGCTGGCTCAGAGCAGCCCCCAGCCGACATGCACCAGGAATCTGAGGATTCCCAGACCCCGATAAACTCGGACGTCACACCCTCCTCTTATTCCTGGCCTCAAAGTCAGATGGACATCACTCTCTGTTTATCTCCATGTGGCCTGGGCCCTGCAGGGCACTCCCGAGTGTCCCCACCACACAGCTTTCTCTCTCCCTCACTAACAACCCACGTGGTCCATTTGTCTCAGGCTTCCAGGATTTCACACTCACCTGGTCCGTCTCACACTCCCGCTTGCACGGTGCTCTGGGCATCCCACCCAGAGGTTGGGGTTCATGCGTTGGGGCAGA